AACTGTTCTCACAGTGATTCAATTAAAAAAAAAAGACATAGAAAAATTGCATTCATCTGGGGAACATAAAGTAACAAAATAGGAGACTAACACCCAAGAATAGCCGAGATAAGTACCAGGAGGTTTACTTCTTGGCTTGGAGGCCAGCCACACACACTAGGGGAAAAGGCAGCTCAGATAGAGAAGGGAGCACCAAATAAAGGGTGTTGGGAAGATCCTCCCAGGATGGGAGATGCATGCTGAGAGTAGACTATAGACCGAACATGATTGCCACTCAATTCCTCTTTCGCAAACCACAGCACCGAAAAGGAGAGAGAGAACAAAAGAGAATGCCCTGCCACAGAAGCAGGGTGGGATGGTGGGGGTGGAGGGTGAGAGGGATACTGGGATCAGTGGTGGTGCAGAATGGGCACTGGTGGAGGGATGGGTACTCGATCATTGTATAACTGAAACCCAAGCACAAAAATTTGTAAGTCTACAACCGTACCTCATGGTGTTTCACTAATAAAAATTTTAAAAAAAGAAAGTTTAAGAACATTTTGTAGTAACTAGAGGTTGTGTACTGTGGAACCTGCAGGTATATCCACTATTGTGCTCCGTTATTTAGAAAACATGGTCAGGGCTTACTCCTAGCTTTGCACTCAGGGATTACTCCTGGCAGTGCTTGGGGGACCATATATGGTGCTGGAGATTCCAAACAGGGACGACTGCAGTGAAGGATCTCTTCTACCAACTACGTCTCAGATCCCTATCTCCGTTCTGAATATATGGAAACTGCTTGAAACAAAGTGAGGACTTTTTGCTTTGAGGCAATAATAAGGCAGAACTTTTGTTCTGCCTATTGTTAGGGCATTCTTTCTTGAAGAGACACAAGATGACCGCCAGAGGGCGCGCCTTCCTAAGAATAGCAATTTAGACTCGGTTGCCTGGAAGACGCAGAATCCGCATTTGGAAGACAGAAGAAAATGATGTCACTATGGAAGCATGATAATTTTTTTTTTTGCCTTTTGGGTCACACCCAGCGATGCTCAGGGGTCACTCCTGGCTCTGCACTCAAAAATTACTCCTGGCGGTGCTTGGGGGACCATATGGGATGCCAGGGATCGAACCCGGGTCGGCTGCATGCAAGGAAAACGCCCTACCCTCTGTGCTATCACTCTGGTCCCGCATGATAATGTTTCAGATATTGAAACCATGACAGATGAAAAAGACAAGAAAGAGAGGCCAACTAGGACTAAGTAATATATAACACCTTCCTTTCCTTCCTTCCTTCCTTCCTTCCTTCCTTCCTTCCTTCCTTCCTTCCTTCCTTCCTTCCTTCCCCCTCTTTCTCTCTTTCTCTCTTTTCTTTCGTTTTTGGGTCACACCTGGCGCGGCTCAGGGGTTACTCCTGGTTCTGCACTCAGGAATCATTTCTGGTGGTGCTCGGGGACCATACGGGATGCCAAGGAACCTGAGTGAACTGCGTGCAAGGCAAATGCCCCACCCGCTGTACTATCTTTCTGGCCCCAACTCTTCTGTATCTTAATCTTCAAAACTAAGATAAAATTATGTGAAAAAATGTGTAAATCTGTCTCTATTTATGTATCTGCATACATGTATAAATTCTGTGCAAGGTTAAGAGATCAAGTGTCCAATGTACAAAATAAGTAATTTTCAGGCCAGAGAGATAGTACAGTGGGCAGGGCACTTGCCTTACATGAGGCTGACCTGGGTTTGATCCCTGGGAACCCATGTGGTTCCCTAGGCAACTCCAGGAGTAATTAATGAGCGCAGAGCCAGGAGTAACCTCTGAGCACCGCTGGGTGTGATCCCCAAACCAAAGCGAGGTCATGTTATATTAAATGAAATATTATATAGCCTGGCAAGCTACTCATGATGTATTCGATATGCCAAACACAGTAACAACAAGTCTCACAATAGAGACGTTACTGGGCCCGCTCGAGCAAATCGATGAACAATGGGAGGACAATGACAGTGATTATAGAAATATAATTGCAAATATTTATTGAACACTCCTTTGTTTTAGGTATTCTTTCAATTTTAATAATATTGTATCTCCTTCCCTTTGTTGCTGTGATGCCCAGGGCTCATAAACTTGGTGATAGTGCTCTGGGGGTCCCTAGTTGTGTCTCTGTAGATCCAAAGGCAGTGCAAGGCTTCATACTTGGCAAAGCAGGGCTGTGTTAAGGATCAAACTTGCAGACCCATGTATGCAAGACAGATACTCTAGCACTGAGTCACATCGCAGACCCAATAGTGGAAGGCCTATGTGTGCTGACTCATTCACACTAATAAGCCTGTGGGCCTGAGAGATCAAACCAGGGTTAACACCCCTGTCTTGCATGTGGCTGACCCCAGTTCTATGCCTGGCACCACCACCAATGGTCCCATGAGCACTGCCAGAGATCACTCCTGTGAACAGTGCCAGAAGTAAGCCTGAAGAAGATCTGGATGTGACCCCAAACTCTCCTCCCCCCACCACAAAAAACCCCTAACAAGTTTATATGACATGGAGGCTGGAGCAATAGCACAGCGGGTAGAGTGTTTGCCTTGCAGGAGGCTGACCTGGGTTCGATTCCCAGCATCCCATATGGTCACCTGAGCACTGCCGGGGGTAATTTCTGAGTGCAGAGCCAGGAGTAACCCCTGTGCATCGCCGGGTGTGACCCAAAAAGAAAAAAAAGAAAAAAAGTTTACGTGACAGGTATGAGAGTACTCTCACTTCACACAGGAGAAACAAGGTTGAAAACTGTCCAAATTCACAGAGGCAATTCTAAAATTTGGAGGAGAGGTTTGGGGGAGCGGACCAAACCCAGTGATGCTCAGGGGTTTCTCCTGACGCTGCAGTCAGGAATCACTCCTGGTGGTACTCGGAGGACCATATGGGATGCTGGGGATAGAACCTGGGTTGGCCATATGCAAGGCAAGCACGTACCCGCTATACTATGACTCTGCCCTCTGGAAATCCCCAAATTTCTCCACAGAACATCTGACTCCTACTCATCCTCCCTGTGTGGCCTGTCCCACTTATTTCACAAGTCTTCCTTCCTCATCACAGTTTGCATCCAGTAGGACAAAAGCACTTTCAGTTCCGTGAGCAGCCCATGTTCTCTGCATAGAACCTTCTTGCTATCTTTCTTTTTGAGGTGGCGCATCCAGCAACCATGCTCTTGGGTTGAGTGCTAGGGCCAGATGATGCCGTGATACTTGGGTCCTGTGGTACTGGGTATCCCCCAGGGCATCCAAGAAGTGCTTGGTTGCGGGGGGGGGGGGGGCTCTCCAAGGCTGCATCTGACAATGCTGGGGGACCACGTGGTTTTGGGTTGACTGGATGAAGGGTGTGCTCCTTTAACCCCTGTACTATCTCTCTGGCACCCTTTTTGCCATGTTGATCTGATGCAATCCTATTTGACGCTCTGTGCTAAACTTACCCGCCCCACCAAAGATACTGTTACTTGTTTATTGAGGGGGCTGGGGCTGAATCTCACCTGGCATTTGTTAGAGGCTATTCCTGGTTCTGTGCTCAGGAGTTACTCCTGGCGGTGCTCGGGGAATCATATGTGGTGCCTGGGATGGAACAAGGGTCTGTGCTTTGCAAGACAAGTACCTTAACCCCACCCCCTCACTAGCTCTCTGACCTCGAATTCAACAGGCTCTTTACACTCCACCCCTACTTGCCCGAATTTCATCCTCAATGATCACAAGGATGAAATCAAGAAAACTATTTCCCTCCTTTGTGAATGAAAACAGCGACACTCAGAAATACCCGCGCACATATGGTCCCAATACTAGGCAGTGGGGAAGATGGAGGTAGAAGAAAATGCTGACCTTGCATGACTCAATCTAAGATTCCTTCTAGGTTGTCAGAGGAGCCTTAGTTCCTCATTGGTGGCTTAAAGGCATAAGATTGGTGCTTTTAGGAGTAAGGGTTGGAACTTAATTGCCAAGGAATCTGTGTCTGGGGAGGGCCCGTGGCTTGGTACCGGTGGGGGAATGCAGATGAGGGCAGGAAGTAGTGGCATTGCCTCTAGCCCTTGGCTCTCCTGGCCCCAGGCTCTTCCCATCACCCGGATCTTTTGGTAACTTTCCTCCACCTGAGCTGTAGAAATCACTTCTGGCTGACCTTTGCTCCTTAACAATCCTGGACAAGCCCCGTGGGCAGGAGAGGCTTTAAGTGTCCTTTCAAAACAAGTCCTGTTCCTGGGGCTGGAGCCATAGTACAGCACAGTGGGTAGCGGGTAGGGCGTTTGCCTTGAACACAGCTGACCCAGGTTAGATCACAAAGCCAGGAGTAACCCCCCCCAGCACTGCCAGATGTGACCCCCAAACCAATCAACACCCCCTCCCCCAAAAAAGGCCAGGTAAGGGGAACGTTTGGACAACTGGATGATAACTTGGTCTGATTGTCGTTTGTTGTCCTTAAGGAAGTTGACGAGTGAATCTTTTAAGGATTAACTTTTTGGAGGGGGGGTCTCCTACATAGTGCTTTGGAGGCCTGGTAACTTCTAGGGGAATACCTGGTGGTGCTCAGAGTTTACTCCTGGCTCTGGACTCAGGGATCAGTCCTGGTTACGAAATGGGGTGCCAAGTATCAATCAAACCTAGCTTGGGTGCATGCTAGGCAAGCATCCTACCTGTTGTACTATGCTTTGCTACCCCATCTGGCAGCTGTTGGCCAACTGAGTTGGCAGTTAAAAGCGGAGGTCACACGGCTGGAGCGATAGCATATCGGGTAGGGTGTTTGCCTTGCATGCAGCCAACCTGCGTTTGATTCCCAGCATCCCATATGGTTCCCCGCCCCCCAGCACCGCCAGGAGTAATTCCTGAGTGCAGAGCCAGGGGTAACCCCTGTGCATAGATGGATGTGACCCAAAAAGCAAAAAAATAAGCAGAGGTCACCGAGGATGCAGTCCTGTTTGAGTATTGTAGTACTGGGGCTCTGCAGGGTGATACTCGGTGATGCTTAGGGACCATGTGCTCCTAAGAATCAAATCAGAGTGTTCGATTTGACAGCACATGGACTAACATGGGAATGATGCAGAGAAGATTAGCATGGTCCCTGCACAAGGATGGTGCGCAAATTCGTCTAGCGTTCCATATTTTAAAAATTAATTTTGGGGGTGAGACACCAGATTTATTAGTGTTCATTTTTCACCTAAGAACTTTATTTCTCTAATGTTCTTGGTCCTATTGAAACACTTCAGCATATTAAAATACTGCAATGTTAATACCCAAGAGAAAAAGCCATCGTAATTTGTATGCCTGTCATCATGATCAGTGTGGTATAGTTTTTTTCACTTTTTTTCTTTTTTGGGTCACACCCAGCGATGCACAGGGGTTACTCCTGACTCATGCAGTCAGGAATTACTCCTGGTGGTGCGTGGAGGACCATATGGGATGCTGGGAATCGAACTCGGGTTGGCTGCGTGCAAGTCAAACACCCTACCCACTGTGCTATCGCTCCAGCCCCATGGTACAGTTTTTAAAAATAAACTCTCATGCCCTTCATAAAAAAAGAATCAAATCAGAGGCAGTGGCAAGCAGAGGCTGCACCTTAACCCCTAGGATATCACTCCAGCACTGAGAATGAACAATTCATGGGTTACTTTGGAACCTAAGGTGGACTGGGAGGGCACCAGGAATTGGAGGTACAATACAGCAAAGCCTGGCAAACTCCCCGTGGCATATTCGATATGCCAAAAACAGTAACAACAAGTCTCACAATGGAGACGTTATTGGTGCCTGCTCGAGCAAATCGATGAACAACGGGAGGACAGTGCTACAGTGCTACAGTCAATTCTGAGGATGGATTCTGATACCATTTTCTTAAATTATTTTCCTGAAAGTAATACAGCAGGAATGGAAGGGTGGGGGTGGGGGCCAGATGAGCCAGTTAATCTAGTTGGTCACTTTAAATCTCACACACCAAACAGTTATCTAATCAAAAGGGATAATGGGATAGCTGTTGGTGGGAGATATTAGCAAACAAAAGGGAGCTAGAGCTATAGTACAGCCGGTAAGGCACATGGTTCAATCCCTGAGTCCAAGTCCCATGAGGAGTCATCCTTAGAGTGCAAAGCCAGGAGTAAACCCTGAGCACTGCTGGGTGTGCCCCCAAAACCAAACTAAAAAGGAAATCTCCAACTAGCGTTCTCCCTCCCTCCCTCCCTCCCCCCTCCCTCCCTCTCCCCCTCCACCTACTGTCAATAGATAGGGCTCATACCTGGACAGGCAGCAGAATCATCAAGCAGGGCTTGTATGTCCACACAGATGTCGGAACCACACAGGGCTCTTACACGCAGACAGACGACAGACAGACAGCAGGACAGCACACTTGGCCAAGACTAATGAAACCGGAGGGGACAGAGAGCTGCTGGGGTCCAGTCTGAGGAAGCCATAAAAGGAGAGGCGTAGGCACTGGGGAGGGACCCAGAACCATCTATGTGAACTGTGCAATAAACTCTGTCTTCTTAAGCTTCTGAGTTTCGCATACAAATCCCTCATACAATTCTCAAGAACCCACTTGAGCAGGGAAAATCCACATTTGTGCTAAAGAGTATTCTGTCTTATTTTTTAATAATACTAGACCCTCTTCTGATGTGTGGGTCTGTCCTGTGGAGTCTAAATTGTCTATTGATTTCAGTTTGCTAATATGATATTGAACTTGTTTTTATTTTATTTTATTTTATTCTATTTTATTGCTTTTTGGATCACACCCAGCGGTGCACAGTGGTTACTCCTGGCTTTACACTCAGAAATTACTCCTGGCTGTGCTTGGGAGACCATATGGGATACAGGGAATTGAACCCAGGTCGGCCGCGTGCAAGGCAAACACCCTACCCACTGTACTATCGTTACAGCCCCGAACTTGTTTTTATTAATGGGTTGGAAAGTTAATACAGAGGATTGGGCACTTGCCTTGCACGCGGCCAACCTAGGTTCAATCCCTGAGCCCATTAAGAATAAGTCCTGAGCACAGTCGGTGTGGCACAAAACCAACACAGAATTTTCTTTATTAAGTCACCATGAATTATGAAGTTATTCATGATTGGGTGTCAGGCACACAATGTTTCAACACCACTCCCTTTATCAGTGTTCACACTTCTCTTTATCAATAGCACCTCCCACCCTCATTTCCCTCCTATCCACCCACCTACCCCTATGAGAAATGCTTTTTTAATATAAATTTTTGCACTGTGGTTTATATTTTCATTGCCTATAGGGTTTCTTCTTCCTTCCTTCCTTCCTTCCTTCCTTCCTTCCTTCCTTCCTTCCTTCCTTCCTTCCTTCCTTTCTTTTGCTTTTTGGTCACACCCGGCAATCCTCAGGGGTTACTCCTGGCTCTGCACTCAGGAATTACTCCTGGCTATGCTCGGGGTACCACATGGGATGCCTGGGATTGAACCAGGGTAGGCCTCGTGCAAGGCAAACGCCCTATTCTCTCTGGCCCTTCCTATAGGGCTTCATGCATAGCACTTCACTACTTTTCAGCTCCCCATCTCCTCCCAGTCTAATATTTCCTTCCTAGATCTTTCCTGGACTGGAGCAATAGCACAGCAGATAGGGCGTTTGCCTTGCATGCAGCTGACCCGGGTTCGAGTCCTCCGCCCCTCTTGGAGAGCCCCACAAGGTACCGAGAGTATCCCGCCCTCACGGCAAAGCTGGCAAGCTCCCCGTGACGTATTCAATAAGCCAAAAACAGTAACAACAAGTCTCACAATGGAGAAGTTACTGGTGCCCGCTTGAGCAAATCAATGAACAACAGGAGGACAGGACAGTGTTAGTGCTACAGTTCTTTCCTAATTCCCTCCATCCCTGTCCTGTGTCCTCCACCCTGCTCCCAAGTGACATGCTTCCTACTGAAGACCAGTTATGTAGTGCTGGGGATTGAACCTGGGTCGGTTGCAATTAAGGCAAAGGCTCAACCTGCTGTACTATCTCTCCAGCCCCCCCTTAAAAAGAAAATTGAAAAGGAACACTATTGCAGACGACAGGCCAAGATGGCAAAATAGGGAGAACTTGTGTCATGTCCTCCTCCAATCACAGCAAATCTATACCCAAACTGGAATTGAAATTTCTTTCATTTTTGTTTTGGGGCCACACCTGGCTGTGCCCAGGTCTAATTCCTGGCTCTGCACTTAGGGCTCAATCCTGGTCACTCCTGGCAATGCTTGGGGGACCATTTGGGGTGCCAGAGATCCCCAGGTGCAAGACTAGTGCCCTATTCATTGTACTATTTTTTTCCGGCTTTTTGGGTCACACCCGGCAGTGCACAGCGGTTCCTCCTGGCTCATGCATTCAGGAATTACTCCTGGCGGTGCTTGGGGGACCATATGGGATGCTGGGAATCGAACCCGGGTCAACCACGTACAAGGCAAATGCCCTACCCGCTATGCTATCACTCCAGCTCCTACTTGTTGTACTATTATTCTGACCCCCAGGAGGAACACTCTATTGGATCCCATGCTCCTTAGTGACTACTCCCAGGGGCTAATCCCCAGAGCAGGCTCCTCCCACTCACAGCAAACAGCTTTAGGCCAATGCTAAAAATAGAACAGTATATAAATTGCCTCTTAATTCTGAACCCTACATAAACTGCTTGTGATTTCGAGTCGAGGTCCTTGTCAAGACTCCACTGTGTTGGGGCTAGAGCTATAGCACAGTGGGTAGGGCGTTTGCCTTGCACGCGGCCAACTCGGGTTCGAATCCCAGCATCCCATATGGTTCCCCTGAGCATTGCTAGGAGTAATTTCTGAGTGCATGATCCAGGAGTAACACTTTGCATCGCCGGGTGTGACCCAAAAAGCCAAAAAAAAAAAATAGACTACACTGTGTTGGATGAGACTTGGACCCTAGCTCGAGCTAGCGCTGGCTTGGGCTAATAATAAAGTTCTTTTGCTTTTGCATTATAGTATGTGAACTAGGTCTCTCCACAATTGGGGATGTGATACTTGGGCACGATACTACCTACAAAAGACTTCCACAACAGTCCTAATGATGATTTAAACCTAAAGTGAGATTACTAGACGAGAACTCCAACAAATTTAAATGATGAGGGAAAGTTTGTAAAACATCCAAATAATTCACTGAGAGAAGACATACAGTAGCTGAACTAAGAATGATAATAGATTTCCGGAGAGATGGTTCAACATATTAGAACACATGCTTTATAAGCAGGAAACTGGGTTCCATCCTCAGCACTACAAAGTCCTCCAAATGACCCCTGAGCATGGCCAAAGAGTAGCCCCCAAGTACCGGCGGGTGTGACCCCAAAGCAAACAACCCCTCCCCCAAATATAGGAGGCTCAAAAGAAGAATGGAAGAAGCCAAATATCCAATCTGTGAGCTTGAATATAAACTTATGGAAGATAAAAAAAAGACTATAGTGAAAAGAACTGAAAGCAATGAAGATGGCATACAAGCTCTATACAGACAGCAGCAGAGAAACAAAATTTACATCTAGGGTTTATAAAAGCGTGAAAGGGGCACAATTCTTATTTGAAAAAAATACTGGCAGAGAACTTTCCCAGACAGAAAAAAGGTATCAGAGAGTTCTCAGGCCCAAAGAGAATGATCAATGGGCTGAGCTGGTGCTTTGCCCAGCACTGCATGGTCCCCTGAGCACCTCCAGCAGCAGGAGTACGATTGACAAGGAATACGATTGACTGGTTCAGCACCCAACGTGGCTTGGTGCATGCCTCAGGCAACCACAAGCAAACGTCTGAGCTCACAAAGCAGTGCAGTGATGCGATAAAGGAAGACCTCAAAGAGAGAAGAGCAGAAGTACTGGTAGATGCGGCAGAAGCTGGGAAAAGCATTCGTAACGCCCGCCTGTCCTTCGCCAACTACAAGACCAAGATGACTGCCCTCCGACGTACTAATGGATCTCTCAGATCTTCCAGAAGGGCAATGGAGAAGATTATCCATGACTTCTACTCAGATCTCTTTGATAGCCACTTCCACCTGCCCACATACCAAATTCCGCAGGATGGATATGTCATTTCCAACGTTACTCCTAACTCTGCACTCTAGGGAGCACATCTGGCAGACTCGAGGGACTATATTGGGGTGCAGGGGATTGAACCCAAGTCAGCTGTGGGGAAA